CCCCAGCCACCATTGAATTTTTACATTTATGCATGACGTACCTATGTAAATGTTACGCAATGTTTCTGTAACCTTATTCGCGACAAGGGTAGCGAATGGGAAGGACATTTTTTATCCGGTTAAAGGCTCGTTAGGGGGTTGAGGAGTAACGGGGATACGGTAATGGTCACGTGCCCGTTTACGACCGAATCCAACAGGACCCAGACTCTCCTTTTTGCCCAGATTCGATTTTGATTCCGTCCCCGGCAGCAGGTTCGGCCAACTTGTGACGATGCCAGCCTTCGTCTGAGGGGTGTCACGTGTGAATTTTCAATCCCTTGGAGCTACAGCGACAAGGGTACGTTATATCGATCGACGTGGGAGAAACCCATTGGTAAGGGATGCTGTAAGCATCAACCAGGCTGAAGGATCACTGGGCTGATCGGAGAAATGCTCACCACGCGCCGCCTCGCGCTTACTGCCTACCTACCCCCCTCCGTCTCCTGATCCTGGTCGCTATCCCGAGGAAACGGGATATTACTTTACCCCGAACGCTTCATTGAATCCTGCCTTTACGATCCGACTATAAAGCTTCGGGCGCCAAAAAGTTAAACATTAAGCATCGCCCTTGGTTATAAGGACACAACCCCTTTGGAATCCGGGGGAGACGTCGTTACAGAAAGCGCTTAGTTCGTGTAACTCCGGTTAACATTGAATATCGATACCAAAGGAAGTACTGGACGTAAAAAAGAAAGTAGAACCATAGAGAATGGGGTGTACGAGGTTTAAAGTATGTGAAGTAACACGAAGTAAAGAGTGAATTAACACGAGCGCCATTAGCGGCGCTAATATAAAGTAAAGATAGCTGCGAGGCACGAACAACCCTTATTTCCCATCGTGCCTGCTATTCCATTTTCTCGTCCCTCGAGAGACCGAAGGGACTTTGATCGAATCGTTCGTATTAGAGTGCGGGAGGTTTTTCACCCTGAGAAAAACAAAAAGGCCAAATTATTTATTTATTTATTCGAATTTTTTTAACCATTTTTCAATTCGAAAGGACGAATATATTCCTCGCGACTTTAATCGGCGTCGCGACGCAACCTCGTGGTTCTCGACTGGAATAGGCACCCGCTAAGAGAAGGACGCCAGGAGTAAAACGTTAGCTCGTCAATTTAATCTTGGTCCATTCGTGTCCTGCGACCCTGTCTTACTCTGGGACGAAATGTCCTGGCTACGGCGAAGGGGCTGGCTATGGGCCACTAGGGCTGGACGGCATTATTCCATCTTTCACGGCC